GGGAGCTGTGCGCGAGGAGGAGAGAGAAGGAACACGCGAGAGAGAGAGAGAGAGAGAGAGATTTCAGATTTTATTAAAAACCCATTTCGAAATATTTACGATTATGCCACTGAGGGTATTTTGATCGTATCTCTCTCGTCACAACTCCAATTCGAGCCCACTACGTGTCTACGGACTCATCTCGCCGTGCTCTACGCTACGGTACTGTTGAAATTTCCAAATTCCATCCCGATCAAAAAGTCAACTCTCAACCTCACAAAATATTCTAGGGGCAAAATGGTCCTTTTATATGAATAAATTAATATTCACCAATTTCTTTAGGATCGGGTCGTTACAATGGTCCTTTTACTCCGATCTGTTTTGCAGGGAGAAAGAGAAGCGGAGAAGACGAAGGAATCTTTGACGAATATTCGCGTGGGGAAAATCATTCCCTCCAATAACCTCAAATTCATAATTTGACCCAATAAAATTTTATTTCCAAGTTTCTCATAAAACCAAAAATTGAAAACGATTATCAAACAACTTATAAACAATTTTCAATTAATCTTTTATTTGAAAATTGAAAACAATTACCAAACGAGCTTCATATTTTTAATTTTTTTTATAAATAAAAATTAAAAGCTAAAATAGTTATCAAATTGGCCCTTAGAATGTCACAAATGTTAAATCAAAATTTTGAACAAGAAATTGGAGTAAAATGTATACAACTATCATTACTTTGAAACTTCAATTCTTCACGTTCATGATGAATATAGATCGTAATAGAAAGAAAGAAAATAGGATGGTAATCAGTGGCGTCGATGAAAATTACATTGACGAGTTATTCTTCTTCCGATTTGTTGGGTACAGCCAGAGTGAATTAATTTTTCCACTAAAACAAAACAAGAAGCATGCTTTGCTTGACAGGACTACCATTTGCTGTCTTGCAAGCGCACTTCCAGTTAAGCATGCTCTGAGAAAATGCTTAGGTTAGGGACAAAGACTTCCACTCAGGCTAATCACTTCTGGAATGCTCATGAAATCAGGTCATATAAGCCACAAGTTAGCTCATAATAAATTCATCCC